TCTTCGATGTATTTGATCTGTATTAAAGAAATATATAGGTATAATGAGTAGACGGAGGATTTGGAGAAAATTTTCAATTTCTTGAATGTTCTAAATCCCGAAGGTTTTATGTAACATTGGACAAATGATCTTCATACACGTAAATAACAAAAAAGTCATTTTTATGGAAACGCAGAAAATCTATGAGTATATGAAAAAATGAGTCATTTCAACATAAAGCTACTACCTTGCAATATCAACAACTTCGTTAATTTGTTGTGTTCTTTCGAATTTGCCCCGTCCCTCTGGAAACAAACACTGAAATCCACTTTGCCATAGTTTTCATTTATGACTTTGTTCTATCCCAAAAACGATGTCTAAGTAACCTTTAAAATAAATTTTCATCGTGCTTATGAACGTTCACAATATTAAACGGCAGAGTCCATTTCAAAAGAAATTGCATGTTTAAGAATGAGGGATAGGTAAAAATTGATCCAGCATAAATTGGTAACACGTAGCCATCATTTCGATCAAGCAAATGCACGATTCAATAAAGTCTCCCACATGATTTTACTCTATTAATGCTACTGTCTGGTGTTCATGACCTTCCGGTATAACTCACAGATCACACATAACCATGCATGTATTCTCAACATAAAGAGCGTACAATGTTCGAAAAAGAATTTCTATGGTCTATAGAAAAAAAAAAGTTTTATTGAACTAATTGATATTAATTAATATATATACATAATATAACAATTAATAATAAATAAATTTAATATATATATATATATATATATATATATATATATATATATAAGTCTGAATATGGCAAACGCATAGTAACGCAAAGTAAAACATTTCGAGATTTCTATCTGCAAAAATTATTTCCTCAGAATACTGCAATCACTTTCATTAATCGTCAATCGCGTTACATAGGGTTTCCTACTTGTATTTTGGCGTATATACTATAATATATGTGTATATTGCAGTATATGCGCAATAATACTTCAACTGCATTCTGAGGGCAGGTTTTTGGCTTCAGTGTTTTAAAAAATGGGCAAGTTTGAAACGCATTTTTGAAGATGTTGTTATTATGAGGTATTCTATACCAGAGAGTGAACAGGAGAAAGAACAAATTGTTAGATATAATTTCACAATTGTGAGCTTGAACTTCCAATTATCGTCGTACGAAGCTTGAAGAATCCTTTGTAAAGCAGAAACCTTGCCTGTATCCTGCTGTGTTGTCTGTGAACAGTTAATTTATTTATTTTAACTTTCTCGTGCAGTACAAGATACATTACTTGTATACGGAAAGTAATGCTGTGATTATTGGATTTTGATGTTTCACCGGAAATGCACTTTTAGGAGCCTTCTGATACTTAAAGACAGTTTTTTCAAATGCCCGTCCGTCTGTCTATGAACAACACTAGTACCTAAACCATTGGTGGGTCCGTAGGACTTTTGCCAAAGTGAACATTCCCTGACCAATCTAGCCCGTCCCAAAGTCCTGCAATTTTTAAATGAATTCTTTAAATATTCGGGGAACGTTATTTAAAATCTTCAGGACATTTTCAAATATTCTCAAAGGAGGCTCCAAATCTATTCTTCACCATTCTTGTGAGAATAGAGAGAAATAAACTGATGACGATGGCATAGGTCGATTTTCACGATCATCTCTAAATTATCAAATTTGAAAATTAAGCAATATTTTTCATGTAATTTGACTAGAAATACGAGAAATATTTCTAAAAAATTAAAAAGCTCAAAAAGGCTTCCAATGTTTGGCTTTAACATTCAGTAGAAATACTGCAAAGTTTTCTGCTAAACGTGACTTGAACGCCATTTTGGTGTATTTTTTTATTAAAAAAATTTATTTTTTTTTGATTAATTTTCACGTCGTTAATATTTACGTATGTCATAACGTTTTTACACATAACTTCATTTCTGAGTATAAATGCGTAATATGATACATGATATTGTAGCAAACGCATAAAATGATTTATTATGATCACTAAAAACTATTATTGTGAAAATTACCTCAATAATGTGTATTTTCAGAAATATTCAAACAACGTTTTTTCCAGAAACGGCTTTAAATTTTTCAATGAGAATTTCCATATAAAACAAATTTTACTCTTCTAAAACGTTGGGAAAGTCGTATTTAAATTCATGTCTTAGGGGAGTGAAGATATGAGAAAACGTGAAGAAACAAATTTACGCCGATACGAAGCGGCTGGGAAGAGGGTGAAGGAAAATCGAACCGCGAACGTAGATTACACAGATTAGAAAGCGAAGTAGTACGAGAAAGTCTGTGCCGTTCCTTATAGCACCACTACTAAGCCTCTGTACTTTACAAAAGGAAAATCAAAATCCGAATATCAAGCAAAGCGACTCAACTGAGAGACAGTTTTTTTCAAAAACAGTACTCTACTGGCAATGACCGTCTGACACTAAACTAAACTTGAATTTGTAATTTTATTTTCGGAATAGTTTGGGTGAAACACAGTAAATGACACATTCTCAAAAAATTTGCAGTTTTTTCAATTTCCCGTGATCAAATACAGGGAATCGCTATCAATTGATTGTTTTGTGTTTTTGGGCTCGTTAACTACAATGTAAGTGTAGTGTGTGCTGTATGTTGGGGGGAGGCGGTGTTTCGCCCTTGCTGGAACTATAAGATCAACGTCCAACTACACTTCGACCTGAAGGAATTCCCCATCCAGAAATCTCTCACCACAGCAACGACCCCAGCCGTGACAAGATTTAAGCCCCTAACTGGTCTCTTATTATGTGTGGTAGAGTTGTTAAGTTTATGTGTGTATATTCAAGTAAGGATGAGCATGAATGAACAAGAAAAGATCGTGCCCCGTCAGTGGCCTGTGTGTTAAGGAATTCGTCGGAGAATCCAGAGAAAACTACTCATCAGAACGGCCGACAGCTGACATTCTAGTCCAAACAGTGGCTAAATCCGACCTAGATCTGTAATTAGAGTCGAACATCAGCCCTAGGACTTCCCAGTCAGTGAAGCTGCAGAGACCACAAATTATGACACTAAGCTATTGCAGCCTGTGTAATGTGGAGTTAAAAACAGTACATGTCTTATGTCAATATATATATATATATATATATAGCATCACCTGCCGAATTCACTGCGCGCATATTACATCATCTGCCGGCTCCCCTTCCCTTCCCCCCGAACTGGACGGTTCCGGACTATTCGCGAGTCGCGGGAAAGGTGGAGAATGTGCTGGTTGTGTCGTGACGACGCCGGCCAGGTATAAATTCGCCGCTGTCGACGGCCGCGAGTCAGTAAGAAGTTATTTAGTAAGTAGTCAGTAGCAGTCAAGTGTCAGTGTAAGTTAGTGCAAGTCGGTGTGTAAGTATGTCACTGTGAGCCAGTGTAAGTAGTAATCAGAAGTAAGCAGCTGCGGATCAGTTAGTGTATCTAATCAGTGAATAAGCAGTCAGTCCGTCAGTGTGCCTGAAGTGGGAGATGTGCTGTAAAGTGTGCATTGCGGTGAACAGTGGTGCAGTGGGTGAACAGCAGTCAGCAGTCTGAAGTCTGTAGTAGGTGCTGAGCTGTGAAGTGTGCATCGCGGTAAACAGTGGTGCAGTGGGGAAACAGCAGTCACCAGTTTGAAGTCTGCAGTGGAAGCTGAGCTGTGAAGTGTGCATCGCGGAAAACAGCAGTGCAGTGGAACCTGGTGCCCGCAGTGAAGTGTGGTCTGCGCAGGGAATTGTGGTCCGCGCAGGGAATTGTGGTCTGCGCAGTGGACCGTGAACAGTGCAGCGGACTGTGTGATACTGTAGAAGAAGTGATCAGTGTAAATAAATAATCAGATAGCAGAGAACAGTTGGAATTACTCCCACATGTGAGCTAGCGACGTCCGCTATTTTCTACGACGTAAAATACTGTACATTCGCCAGTAAAATACTATGAATTCCTGGTACTCTTCGAACTACGCATGTATACTGCAAGCTGTATGTCACGTTGCATTGTCCTGCTGGTAGATACCGTCTTCCTAAGAAAAAATTATCTGCGTACAGATGCGGATGTCTCCAAGGATGGCTGCATACCTCTGTAGGTTGATTGTGCGTTCCAGAATGTCGAGATCACCCAGCGAATGTCACGAAAACATTCTCCACACCATTGCGTTTCCTCCTCCGGCCTGGAACCCACCGACGATTGTTGCAGGGTGTCTGCGTTCAGTTTCACGCCAACGACCATCTGTCCGATGGATCTGAAACGTGATTTATCTGAAAAGGCGGCCTCGGTGGACGTCTAGTTGCGGTATTGGCGTGCAAATTCCAGACTTCGTGCCAGATGAACAGCAGTCAGCATGGGTGCATGAACCAGGCGCCTGCTGCTGAGGCCCATACGCAGCAATGTTTGCCTGTCTGTAATGAGTCCCTGTCTGTAGCCCTTTGTGTCATCTGAGAGGTCAGTTGTTTCACAGTTACATCTCTATTTGTTCGTACACATCTCAGCAGACGTCGTTCTCCCGTCATCTATATTCGGAAATGATTCCGCCCTTGGCCCGAAAGCCAACCATCATGCCCATTTGAACGTTCGAAATATTGTTGCATTTCTGCGTTGCGACTACTGCATTCCGCTTCCACCCCTTTATAAATCCTCCACTGGTAGTGCTGCCACTTGCCATCTGTAAGGGGTTATTGCACGTTTACGTCGAATAGAGGCGATGGTCAAACTGCTGCGATTAACAATACGGAGAATTCAGTTTTGGATCGCTCAAGTAATGGAAATATGGCTCGTAACCACATTACAGGTTTCAGTTCTGGCCCTTGATGCTTTGGAAGTTGGACACCGCCGATCTAGACCATAAAATCTCTGCCGCTTTAAGAGTGAACAAAGTTACAACATTGACTTGCAACAAAGTTACATCTTTGACTCCTGTGAATATGCCGGTAACGTACGAAAACATTTTTTTCGAAAGAGATACACATCCTGCAATCCTGTTAAATAACAATATAAACACATTTTTTCTTGATCAACGATTCCAAATATTTGTTGTGAATTAATATGAGACAACTTGACTTACATGGATTTTTGATTTAATGAAATTTACTGTCCTTTCCCATGTTCCCATTACTTAAAAGCTAGAGAGAATTTTACTTACCTGATGGAACATAATAGTAGAGGATGATTAGGAGAATCCAGAAGTATATTTATCCCATTTTTTTGAAAAGCTGACATATTAGCTTATTAATCGGGTCATTGGCAGTAACTTGGATACAGAATCCCAAGGTGATTAAATTTGTTTATTTTTTTGTCATAAGCTATTATAATATATATAAATTGAAGAATATTTTGAACAGCAACATCTACGTCAAGTTGCACATCCTATGTAAATATTCTACTAGAAAAGTCAGTCTAGTATAATCTACTAGAAAGTCATTCCAGAAACATACTTAAGCACATAGGAAGCATTTAAAAGAATGATAAAACTTTCTGAAAACTCTGCTTTAATTTGGTAGTATTTTCTTATTTGATCGATTAAAATATCAAACTGAAAGATACTATTTTTAATAAAATGAATTACGAAAACAAATAGTATTTTGTACACCACTTAATCCTTAATTTAAACATCAGGCATCTTATGTATTTTGCATTTAAACATCAGGCTACATTAGTTATGAACTATAATTTTAAAGAACACTCTAATCTTATGGCTATGGTTACTGTTACTAATACTTAAAATGTACAGCCATGATTTGAACAAATAGCATGAAGTAAAGGATAAAAACAATTAACAATATATTTTCATTCCAGTGGCAAATACTGTTTCCTCACTGATTTTTTCCATTGCATGACCAACTGTTAATGTGACTGAATGCATTCAATTGCCTATTATGCAGAGAAAAGTATACTAACACTCTGCATGACAAATGTGCATGCATCGCAATCTGATACAAGAAAATTATTTTTTTAAGCGATTTCTAAATTTATCACTTTGAATCATAGCAGAAATCATAATTAGGAGGATTTGGTGGAACTGGTGGTGGATCTTGTGGAATATCAACGCCTTCAGCATCTAATAAGCGTAATTTAATGTCCATAGACAATAACGTTTCAAGGTCATTTTCTGTCTTTTTACTCAACATTTTGTTACCTAAAATCAGAAGAAGATAAAATTAACATTTACAAATCAATTTCCAAAATACAACTTTGCAGAAACAAATAGTAAGAGTAGAACACTTTACTGTCATTAATATACTGTCCCAACATTACCTAGCAAAGCATTAATGCCATCTGTCCAATAATCAAATATTTCTTCATCCGCAGCAACAAAGTCGAGAGATGCTAATTCAACAGAATCCAACATCAGGGAAAATGCTAATTGATGGGTTGTCTTTCGGCCTCTACAAAAAAGATTAAATTGCATTACTTTATGAAATGACAAATACACCTAATAAAAGGTAGGTTTTTTTTTTTTTTTAATTTATCGCCTCACGAAATCTTCGTAAGAAGAGAAAGTTATATAATCGTGCGCCAAAAAGGCCGACATTTTGGCAGAAAATCAACTTATTGCCGGGTTCTAGTAACGAAGAAGTAGATAAATCCAGTTGCTAAATTTTGAATAAAATCCTCTAACTTGTGGTATATCCATAATCCGCGTTTCGTTGATTCTTCATACCGAAAAATCGTTTAACGGCAAAACGTCCGTCCGAGGTCAACGCTAACAGGTCAACGCCTAAACCTTTGAACCGATTCTCTTGAAAATTGGTATTCTTCAATCGATCTGAATGAACTCGTGGCTTTGAGAGTTTCAAACGAGAATTTTGATTTTTGAGGGTACTTCACATTCCTCAAACACATTTTACAAATTTTCTCAAAAAGGCTCCAAATTAAAACTACAAAATTGAAAATTTTGGCTCAGACAAAGTTTGTTGTACAAAAATGTCCATGTCCATTTCTTTTGTAAAAGTTAGTTTGGGTAATTTGCGCTTGAAATTTACGAATTTATTTCTTCTCAAAAACCGCTCCAATTTTTTTCTTTGAATTTTGCCCACACATGTAATAAGAAACGGTAAAAACTATGGAGATAGTCCGATTTTCGTGTATTGTTTTTTTATTTTTTTGAAAATTACAAAAATAATTTTAAAATTAAAAAAATTGAAGATAGATGTTTTTATCTCCGGCAAAGTCTGTTGTTCACAATAACCTCTTTAAATTGTCATGTTGATTTATTTTTTTTGAAAAAAACGAGTAGTTATTGCGTAATTTGCTCTCGAAATTTACGAAAAACATTTATCAAAAACCGCTTGATTTTTTTTCTTTAAATTTTTTCCACAAGTGTAATAAAGAACGGTAAGATATACGGATATTTTGCAAGAGCTAATATAAATCTTTTCAATCAAATCGATTGGAACACAGATATTGATCACATTGACATTTTTGTTCACCACGCTCATGCGATATAATTATATCAGGATGTAAAATATCTCTCTCAAAATTTAAATTTGTATGAGATGATTTCAAATACTGATTCAGTTAAATCCAATACTGCGCGATTTACATTATTATAATACCATTTTATTGTATTCTTATTCTATTTTTGCGAAATCTCCATCTCGATCAGGTTTTAGTTTCCGTTTCCCTGATACATTGAGCAAATGCTGAGATGGCCCCTTGTTTGGCTTCTGGTCGAAAATGTGGCTTCGCTATAAGCGAGTAGACGTAAGGGCGAGTTACTATTTTGTTAGCAATGCAGAAAAATCAAATCTGCAATTCGGTCAGCGATGTAATTACGTTTTCTATAACTCTGAACAAAAAGCTTTTTTTCAACTATTGCTAATCTTGCAATTTTCTAAATTTTATTTTTATTTATTTATCTTTAACTATCACTCATCTTTGAACTAAAATGATGGGAAGGGATTCTGGAACTCAAGAAAACGTGCCCAGATGGTCTTCTCCCCCATATGTCAAATACAGTTTTTTCTTTGACTAAATAAATCTAAATCTAAGATGTTTCAAATTGAGTATCATAAACACTACATCGCAGTTGATTCAATAAATTTAATGTATCACTATTTAACTCTCCATCCAATGGTAATTGATAATAATCTTGAAATTTAATAATGGTGTCACCAATTTCAAAATTATATCCATAATTTGATAATTTTTGCATTACTAATTCACTAGTAGCTACTATCATATGAACAATACACTATGCAAATGATAATAGGTTAAACCACATTTATTATGCTACAATATCTCTAAACCATATTTTCATTCGATATTTTATTTAATTTTAATAAATCCTAGACAATATTTTATTTCAATAATTTCATGTTTCTTATATCAGCAATAGGATATTCATGATATTCATTATTTAATTTTTTATGAATTTTAAAATTAAATGTAGCTTGGTTCAGTTTTGATACAACGTCCATTTCTAAAGGGATAATTATACATAATTGCTTTCTAAATGGATGTTGTATCAAAACTGAACAAAGCTACATATCATGTTAAAATTCATAAAAAAATAACTTAACTAATGGAAAATCGTGAATATCCTATCGCTGATATAGGAAACGTAAATACAAAATATGGAAATAATAAAGTGGCATTCGATCTAAAAAACTGATAAGGTCAACTGTTTAATGCAATTTTACCTAATTGATATGCTAATTGTTTAAAAGAAAACTATATTAAAATATTTTTTAAACTAAAAATTTGTGATCGGTGTATATTGGTGCATGGAATATCCCTAATGTGAGAAAGTATGTGCTGATGTAGCACCATTACTTTTCACTTGGTTGACACTCTCACAATAAACTCAACAAGATTTTTGATTACTAGTTAGTATGCACAGGTCCAAATTTCTGGTGTAACGAACTATGATTCTATATTGCACTTGACTTCATGTAAGGGTGCATGTCCCTGCACTGAAACACACTACCACTCCAATTTCCTCACTAAGGTAACCCAATGTCTATTTTTATATTCTTACAGAGCACCTGTAGAAGACACAAATACAGATTGACTTTGTACCTGGTACTTTTATCGCGTATAATTACGCATTGACTTTACACCCATACTTGTCTTTGTAACTTTTGTATTATTTTTGTGCTAATTAAATTTTAATTACTGACAGCCAGTCAGTAAGTTTAATATTACAAGTATGAAAGAGCTCCTCTGTAATTAGTTATAGTGAATTAATAAGGACAGATGAAGAAAAGTGTTAAATAGAAAATATAATTTTAATTTTACAAATCAATGATTAACACAAATTAATATTTGCCTATTATTAATTAAAAATGAAATTCTTAAAAAATCCTGAATATAACATTAAAAACATGACAAACATGACATATCACCAAAAATATAACAAAAATAAGATACATCTTACAAATGTGACTAAATATAAAAAAAATATTTCCCATATGCAGCACTGTAGCCATTATACACTGTAATTCACGCAATTTAGTGAAGTGTTATGCAAGAAATTACTGAAATTCTAGTTGTATGTATTTTAATTACAAAACAACAATTATATCTGGCTGTTAAAGATAACACAAAGTTTCATGAGTGGTAGAGTCTTGTAGTTGGCCACACCAAATCTGTGTTATATTTTAGCACAATTTGTTTTAAAATATTTTTATATCTTTAAAATACATGCTTCTCTTCAAAGCAGAGTGTAAAACACACTTCTTGAGGACAATACAGCATGGATCACTTAAGGCACTAGGATATCTGGTAAAAACAAACATTATTTAACATACCTCTAAACACTGCAATGCAACTTATAATTTGCATGTATATTTTCACAAGAAAAAATATTTTCTCACTAAAGTAAGTTTAACAAAAAATAATGAGAAACATTCAAATTCTGAAATACATCAAATCATTTAGTGTAATCTTTAATGTGCAGATTTCAAATTAAAGGAGACAACTTTATTATAATTATAACAAACAGGAGGTATTGACATGCCTTATTTTAGTTATATGAGAATTTATAACTTCTTACCGTTGATCTTTCATGTGAGGGCACTCCTTCCCAGTCACTAAAGCTTTGATATCCACAACAGCTAGCTTATTGGGTAATTCTTCTATGGCAGGAACAGATTTTTCATCACATTCACCATAATGAAACATTTTATAGTTGGGAGACAGACGTACATACCAGAATTTATCTTTTATTCGCTGGAAAATAAATTAGTAAATTGTAAAATAAAAAAGATTTAAGTAGCATTGCACATTCTAAAAAAGCAGCTATTATGTAGAATGTCAGCATGATTACGATATATTTCCAATATACTAATTTAACCAATAAAGCAATAGCATAGATTATCAGAATACTAGTGAAACTCACTAAGTTTAAAATAAGTGTCTTGAGGTAAATGAAGTTGAGGGTGAGACTGTAAAATTTATCAACTCAATATCTTTTTCTAGAATTCTCTTAGGAAATCTCTTACACCATGATCCTACTTCAGTCATCTTGTGAATGTCTCGCTTCTGTATAAGAGGCACAGAAAATTAAAAATTGCAATTTTAAAATTTTACTGGTTTTAATGTTAGGCTTATATTTATAAGCATATTGTGTATTCCTTGAAGAAATAATCTTAATAGCAAACGTTCCTTGGTATTGCCAGGAATCAAACCCAGGTCTATAAATTACCAGTCTTCAGGGTTAACCCTTAAATATAACCCTGGGGCCTATTGGACCCTAACCAAATTTCATTATATAAGTTTAATTTTAAAAAAATATTTGGGATATTCTACTCTCATGTAAATTCAGTAGGTACGGTTGGGAAGGGTTTACACAGTTGCTGCCTTCTGTTAATGTGCAACTAACATCAGTGCAGGTTAATGCGGTAGTAGCTTTGTGGTTTGCTGAACCTCAGTGTTACATTTATTTGTGTCTTTTTCAAATTTGTAGTTTTTGATTTTCAAGACTTTTTCTAGACAAAATGGCATCAAACATTAGAGATAATTTAAACCTAATACGAGATAAACTAGATAAGAGTGAAACTAAGAATGTTCAGAGCGCTTGTTTGGTAATGAAACGGATTTGAAACCAGATTTTGTTTATGAAGATAAGGACCATTTCGATAAGTGCTGGTGAATCTGGTGAAATTGAACAAAACGAAGTAATTCAAGAAGACGAAAACAATTGAAGTGCGAATCGACAATGTATTCTAATTCAATGGAGAAAAATATGTTTGCTCAACCAAAGAGCCAGAACGTCCTGCAAGAAATCCAGAAATAAACCTGGTGTAGCATTTTCAAGCTAAAGAGATAAGAACACCAGAACATGCTTGGAAGCTTTTATTTAATGATGAAATGTTAATAGAAATAACCCCTAGAACCAATGAAGCAATAGAAGACAATTACTGAATATTGTAAGGCAATCTTATCACTGCAAAGTTTCTAAAAACGAAATGGTTCTTATAAATGGCTTTTGTACTTGGCTGACCTTGGCTTAGTTAGAATTCTAGAAAAACCTTGGAGGAACTCTGGTCAACTAAGTTAAGCTCAATTTATAAAGCCACAATATCTTTGCCATGAGTTCGCTTCATAAGTACATTTTTGCACTTTCTTGACAAGGACTCTAGGCCAGAGCAAGTAAAAGATAAAAGTAGGGCTGTGATATATTTTTGGGGCAGTTTTGTTGAACATTGTCACGTGTATAAGACACCACTTGAGTACTCCAAACCACTCCTGGGTTTTCGTGGTTGATATGGCTTCAGGGTGTAAATAAAATTCAAATCAGACATATGATTTGAAAATAGTAATTTTCAGCGATAAGACTAGTTGCATGTTCAATACCATACCTAACATTGGAGAAGTAAAAACAAACAACAAATAACAAGTTCCAATGCTAGCTGTCTGGACCAATGCATGGAACAAACCGTAATATTACAACCGACAATTGGTTCACATCCATGTCTATGATTTGCACATCTTAAAACAAAGTACGGTAAATGCGAAGAGAATTGCTTATTTATAACATGCGTTCGATAATGGATAACAAACTAACAATGGTTGGGACAATGAGGGCTAAGAAGAGATTCCTGAAACGATTTTGGTACAAAAATCTTCAGAAGAATCTATAATTGCATTTAATCACAATAAGACATTGATTTCCGATAACCCCAAAGAAAATAATTTTTCCCCCTCACCTCTACATCGCACTGCAACTGTTGATGATTCCAAGAAACCACAAATTGTGCTTTTCTAGTCAAGAAATAAGGGACAGACATTTCGATAAATTGTGCCACACTTATTCAGTATGTCGGACAACAAACCGTTGGCCAATGAGATTACTTTGAGATAATGTATCAATGTAGTGACAATTCCATGGATTTTGTACAATTATAAATTTAGAAAATCCTAAACTTTGCAGAAGAAAGTGTTGGGAAACCCTGGCAAAAAATTTGATCAAACCATGATTGTACGAGCGCTTAGAAGATGCAAACATTCAGAGAGGAATAAAACTAGCCATTCGGGAAATATTGGAGATACCTATGTGACAACAGGTAGAATAAGAGGTCGGGCCTGCAAGAAAACAGCGCTGCACTTTTTGTGCTCGTGCCAAAGATTGAAAAACAAAACTCTACTACTCATCATGTCGCCACGACGTCTTTCACCAAGGAGGCCCGGTTCCATTCCCGGACAATCTCATGTGAAATTTGTTCGAACAAAACGTTTGGCTGCTCCACAAGGGCTAGTCACATCGCTGTGACATGTCCTAACCCTACCCCTAATTCCTTCCCAATTCTGGCCAATGGTTAGTGACTCAGGAGCGCGGGTTAGCTGCGTGCGCGAAGATGCTAACTGGCGGTCCTTTTGCCAACTGCCTGCGACGAGACGTAACATAATATGACAGATAATTGAATGAATTACTCCTAAGCGCGATTATTAATGAAGTATTACTGCAAGCGCAAAGCGCTCAACGCCCCTAAAGGTGCTTGGAGACACGTGACGTCAATCCAGACGCAACAAAAACACACATTAATTTGCCGCAAAATAACGCCAGTGACTCTGAATTGACATTAATTTTTGTAAATATAATGCTGCTTTTACGTTTCCTTAATATAAAATGTGTTGTTATAAGATGGTTAGAGAGAAAATGGCTCAGTGTCGAAGTAGTGTCTACATAGATATATTATCCATTCCACAGTACCATAAAATCCACTAAATTACAGTATCCCACATGTGTCTTGGCAATCTTATGCATAATTTCGGCAAAATTCGCGATCGCGAATAAGGAATGCAAGCAAGCAATTCTAAAAACGTGGTAATAGGAGGTCTCGACGAGCGACATTGAGGCCAAAATAATATAATCTTATAGATAATCTTAAATAGCGAATAAAAACAATTGTAAAATATTGCGCTATTATTTTCACTTTTACTGTTTTTATGCCGAGGTAAACAAAAAATTGACCATGCCATCATTGCACTCGTAAAAGCTGGGAAAGACAATTCGTTCAACAAGAAATATCACAAAATTAAACATATATATATATATATATATAT